TAAATGGCATTTAAGTATATAAAATAAATATAAAAAATATAAGCCTTTGTTTTACTATGGTTGCAAATATCAAAAAATTTCTATATGTGACACGGCACCAGAGTTAAGTCAGGGTTTTTCAAAATGCTGACACGCCGAGCTCAAGTGGTTCGCCATCACTGGATTAGGGTCATGAACTCCCAGGCTGTCTGGGTTCCAATCCTACCTCTACTACTTACCTAGCTGCCTCAATTTTCCCATCTTGAAAAGGCAACATTGATAGTGCCAACCTCAAAGAGTTCTGGGATAAATATTAGTAAAGTGCTTAGAATAGAGCTGGACACAATGTTTTATACATGTTAAAAATATTTAAAAGTTGCCTGGCTGGTGTGGCTCAGTGGTTGAGCATTGACCTATGAGCCAGGGATCACAGTTTGATTCCTGGTCAGGGCACAGGCCTAGGTTGCAGACTCGATCCCCAGTAGGGGGCATGCAGGAGGCAGCCAATCAATGATTCTCTCTAATCATTGATGTCTCTATCTCTCCCTCTCCCTTCCTCTCTGAAATCAATCAAAATATATTAAAAATGTTTAAAAATTGCTTAAATGTAGTAGAATTGATTAATTGAGGTTGTAGTTTTTGATGGTGATGATAACGTTATGGTGGTGAAAAGATTTTCCCATTAAAATTGGGTTCTTGGCTCTTATCACTGGGATTTGTTTTTTAGACCAAGTGACCAAATGACCGGTTTAAGAAAGGAGGAAGAGATCCTGGCTTAAAAGAATAGTTAGTTTCTTGCTGGCTTTATTTCTGTTTAACTTTTTTATTGTGAAAATGTTCACTTACGTCCAATTCCCATGTACTCATCCTCTCGTTCCAACAGTTTGCCATTCTTCTCTCCCCCATGCTGGCCTTATGCTCACTGTGGCTCCTCGTCACTGGCCAGCCCTGGCCAGGTTTGAAGTAAGCTTCCCAGAGCTTTCCCAGATCTGGAGATCCCCCTGGTCTGTCCTATAATTTCTGGCTTATCAGCCTAGAGGATCAGGTTGCCAGGAAAGGTAATGACCCTTAATGAGCACCTAGAAATTCAGGTTGGGGCTGCCTGGTGGCCACACTTCTTCTGTCACTTCCCTAAGGGTGAGGCTTCGTCACCATTAAGATGAGACGCCCCAAAGCAGGTTAAACGCCTTGCATCAAGTTATGTGCAAAGCCGTTTTCATTTTTTCAGGCCGCCACCCTTGGCAAGTCCAATCATGCTTGTCCCAACTTTCGCTACCCAGACTGGAGCTGGCTGGCTGAAGGAATGCAGTGTGATAAACCAAGGCAGTCTTGTTCCCTGGTGATGTGACAAGCCCCCACACAGTCCAGTTGGTTGCCCCAGTATTTCTGTTGCAGGGAACTGGGGGAGGGTTATTTGAAAAATATCTTGTTTTGCTAGTTTAAAAAGGAATTTCTGTTTTAGACTTACAGGGAGGTGTCTGCCCATCCTTTGAAAGACTTTGCATTTTTGCCCTTGCTGGTGCTGCTCAGTTGGTTGGGCGTTACCCCGTGCACCAAAAGGTTGCTGGTTCGATCCCCAGGCTGTGGGCTTGATCCCTGGCAGGAGGTGTGCAGGCGGCACCCAATTGATGTTTTCCTCTCACATCCATGTTTCTCTCCTTCTTCCTTCCCTTTTCTCTAAAAATCAGTAAAATATCTTAAAAAAAAACTATTTTTAAAAAAAGACTTTGTTTTTCTTCTTGGCTCCTGCTGTTATTTTAGGGTTCATCTGTCCACTTAGCAAATACTTGTCTTCTAGCTTGTATGCAAAGAAATACAAATCTCCTTTGACTTGCATTGTCCTTTTGCTTTCAAAATGTGATTCACATTCACTGGCATGGCTCATCTTCACAAAACCCTGAAGAGGTAGGCTTGGTCAGTGGTGGTATTCTTCGTGTTCCAGTGGGAAAAACCGAGGCGCATAGTAAAATATCTTTTAAAAAAAAAGACTTTGTTTTTCTTCTTGGCTCCTGTTGTTATTTTAGGGTTCATCTGTCCACTTAGCAAATACTTGTCTTCTAGTGTGTATGCAAAGAAATACAAATCTCCTTTGACTTGCATTGTCCTTTTGCTTTCAAAATGTGATTCACATTCACTGGCATGGCTCATCTTCACAAAACCCTGAAGAGGTAGGCTTGGTCAGTGGTGGTATTCTTCGTGTTCCAGTGGGAAAAACCGAGGCGCAGGGAGGTTGAGCATTTTGTTTGCTGAGGCCACTCACTCAGCAAGAACATGGCAGAACTTGGGTTTATAATCCAGCCAAGAACCAGACCAGCCCTTTCTTCATGTCGCCACCCCCCCTCTGCCCTTCCTGTCATTTATTACAGCCTTATTTGCCAGGTAGTAGACTCCCAACTACTGCATGAGTTGGCCTCAGATTTCTGTCATCCCTGGATTCTAGCTATGGGGCAAAATCATCCTTTAAAAATAGCTAAGGCCCCAAGGAAAAAGTTCTCTCCAGGGTGAGGGAGTGCCAACCATGAGACATCATGTTGAGGGGTAGTCCCAGCTCCACTGTAAAGTAGTTATAGGATGTCAGGTAAATTTCTTAACCTCTCTGAGCCTCAGTTTCTTCATCTTCAAAATGGGGGGTATTCGTGGTACTTACCCTCCCACCCCCAAACATGGTTTTACTTTCTCCGACAAGGGTGGGGCTGTTGGCTTCAAAAACATTTGCAAGGGTGGCCCCTGGTGGAAGAAGTGAAAACTGCAGCTCAGGCGTCACGGTGGCTTTAGGGCTTTCTGGCAGAGACCTGGTCCTCCTGAATGGAGAGGTGTCTAGTTGTGTAAAATGGGCACAAACGCAGGAATTTAATAAAAGGTCACTTAGACACAATAGAAATTCCAGTGGAGGAATGAGGGGCAATTATCTGAATGGGAGGAAAATAGGCCAGCTTGAGTTTCCCAGAACGAACTGTTTGAACTGTTTTATCTACGGTTCCCTCTGCCTGGAAGGCTCTTGAGCCGTGTTTTCTGCAAGAACTCTTTGTTTGGGGCCTTGGCTATTTTTAAAGGATGATTTTGCCCCATAGCTAGAATCCAGGGATGATAGAAATCTGGTTCCTTTAGGCCTCAGCTCGGATGCCTCTGCCTCTGAGAGGTCTGCCTTCACCATCCAATATAAGTTGTGCTTTTCCCATACCTCCCTGCCCCGCTGTCATTCTTGTAGTACCCTCTTTAATTCCTTTATAGCCACTGGCATTGATCACAGAGGACAACTTGGGTGAGGGAACTTACAACCAACTGCTTAAAGACAAAACTAGTTTTTTAAAAATGTAGTTGCCCTGGCTGGATGGCTCCGTTGATTGGAGGGAGCATCATCCCATACACCAAAAAGATGTTGTGGATTCAATAGATGTTCTGTTTCCATTATTTTAGGGGGCTGTTTTCATATTGTGGAGAGTATCTGAAAAGGAGAAGCCCCTTTTCATTGTTATCGAAAAGCAGAAGTTACTTGCCTTTGTCCTCTGCCTTTTGCATTTGACTTTTGGTTTTGGTATTTTTCCATCTGCGATTTTTGGTTTTGGTATTTGTCCATCTCCTCCACAATAGATAAGCTCAATGACAGCAGGTGTTTTGTCTGTCGTGTTCACAGTTGGTGGGGATCTGATGAATGAGTCCCTTGGAACTCTGATGTTTAGTGTAGATACTTTTCACCACAGCTCCTCCACTTTTGAGCATTAATACCTTCATAACTAATGTTTTTAAATAATTTAAAAAAATTCTCACCTGAGGATATGTTTATTGATTTCAGAGGGAGAGAGAAACATTGATATGAGAGAAAAAACATTGATCGGTTGCCTCCCGGACATACCCTAACCGGCAATCTAACCTGAAACCTAGGTATGTACCTTGACTGGGAATTGAATCCACAACCCTTTTTGGTGTATGGGATGATGCTCCAATCAACGGAGCCACCCAGCCAGGGCAACTACATTTTTAAAAAACTAGTTTTGTCTTTAAGCAGTTGGTTAAGTTCCCTCACCCAAGTTGTCCTCTGCCTTTTGCCTTTGACTTTCCTCCTGGATGATCAGGTCGAAGAGTCCTATGACTCCCCAGCCGACAGTCAGCAGTTTCCCCTCTGCCTCCTGCAAGCAGGAATGGCCTCTCAGTGTCTCAGATAATAAGCATACAATCAGCACTCAGTAAATACCTGCTGTTCTCAATGTCTTTTGTGGGATACTCACAGGGGTTGGATAAATTATTAACCAAAGCTATATATATATTTTTAATTTTTTTATTTAAAAAAATTAAGTATAGCCGAAACCGGTTTGGCTCAGTGGATAGAGCGTCGGCCTGCGGACTGGAAGGTCCCAGGTTCAATTCCAGTCAAGGGCATGTACCTGGGTTGTGGGCACATCCCCTGTAGGAGATGTGCAGGAGGCAGCTGATCGATGGTTCTCTCTCATCCATGTTTCTAACTCTCTCTCTCCCTTCCTCTCTGTAAAAAATCAATAAAATATATTTAAAAAAATAAAAAAATTAAGTATAGTATTTAAATTTTATATAGTGTTTCTGTGCCAGACACTGTTCTGTGTATCTTAAAACAACCTTAGTAGGGAGTTGCTATTATTTCTGTGGTCTATCCACAGTATCTGACTGTACCATGCTCTCTAGCTTTTGACTTCAATAGATGTTCTGTTTCCATTATTTTAGGGGGCTGTTTTCATATTGTGGAGAGTATCTGAAAAGGAGAAGCCCCTTTTCGTTGTTATCGAAAAGCAGAAGTTACTTGCTAGACAGGTTACTTGTTTCACTTTACAAGGAGATGAGAACAAAAGCAGACCACAGGAAACAGTCGCCCTCTAACTGTGAAGAGCGGGATGATGCTATCAAACTGCTCTGTCTTTGCGGTCCTGTCACCAGACGATGGTTTGTTTTGCTTGTGCTTAATTTGTGTGCCTTAGGCTTTTGGTAGGTGAGTCCAGTTTGCTTTTTAGAGAAGGAACGCGCTTGTTTTTAAATCTGCCCCATTTCTTAATCGCTGTTATTTATGCCCTGCAGTGAGTTTTGAGGGATGCACCGGCCAACCAAGGACCATCTATGTTTCTGATGACACCAGATTCAGAGTGGGCACGGATGGGGTGCTGATGGTCAAACGGCCTTTACAGCTGCATAATCCAGAGATGAGTTTCCGTGTTCACGCCTGGGACTCTGCCCGCAAGAAGCTCTCCACCAAAGTGACGCTGAAGGCAGCAGTGCATGACCACCACCAGCACCACCACCACCACCACCACCACCATGTATGTTGCAGTGTTTCTTAAACGTTCACTATTGTTTTAGTTTGCTTCCTAAGGTGGGGTTCGCTACTTGGCACCATGCAGATTTGGGGCTGGGTAATCTTTTGTTGTGCTGCGTCCCGTGCACTGCGTGCTGTCTATCAGCATCCCATGTCTTTACCCATTAGTTGCTAATTGCACCCCCAAAGCTGTGACAACCAAAGTGTCTCCAGACACTGCCAGTGTCCCCTGGGGAACAAAATAGTCCCCAGTTGAGAACCATCGGTTGAACTGAACTAACTTTTGTTGGGGATTTTTTTTTTTTTTTTGCTTTTGGGTAGAGAGGGATTAGGTGGAATGGTGGCAAGATGCCATTATCTTTATTTCTGCAGGTTGAGTAGAATAGTGTGGATAAGGGCATGGACTTGTCTGGGATTGAATTTACTACCTGAGTAAATGCGGGAGGGGTGTGTTATTTAATCTGTTAGTGCTTGAATGTCCTTATCTGTAAAATGGAGATAATAATAACTGCATGGGTTAATACACATGAAATGTTAGAACCACGCTCGGCATATAATAAGTACTCAGTAATTGTAAACTGTCCCTATCACTCCTTTCCTGGAGGAAGAATGAGTGAGAGGTCAATACTCTCATCATTTGCTCTTTGTGTTGCTAGTGGAGAGGGTCTTGGCAAAGAAAGGGAAGAGTCGGTGGGAAGCCTTTGCCTCATTGGACTGTAATCTACACAAGATCCTTCCCCATTATATGGCAGTGCCTGGCCCTCCGTCTGGCACATACCAGGAGGCCAGTAACTATTCAGTGGACAAACAGGTGGACCAGCCATGAATGGAAGGACGTATGTCTGTCCAGGTCCTTGGCAAGAATGTTTCTGGGAATTGTTAGCCAAAGCCAAATGCCTTTGCCAGTTTCTAAAGTGCTCCCATGGCGCTTCCTACCGAAACGTCTCTCTGGGGAGCATTCTAGTTGCATTCTGCTACCGCCTTGGAAGTGTGGAGTGGGTTCTACATGCCAAGGCCTCTCCGGCTGGCTCCTGGTCTTCTCTCCAAAGACTCCTGAGATTCAGGGGACTTGACAGTCCTGACAGATTGAAATTTATCATCCCGGTGTAATTGGACCGGCCAGAAAAATGAGGGACTTGGCAGAATTATATTAACATAGGTCCCTGACTCAAGTCCTCAATGGACTCTGTCATTCATGTAAGTTCAGCACGGTGGGTTCTTGCTGGGCAGCTATGCCTGAAAGCCTCTTATGAACAAAGACAGTTTTGAACTTGTTTTTTTCAACCTTTCCTCCCCACCTTTGCCAACGTTGCCTCTGCCTCCATGTCTGCTGATTGTGACTAGGTTCAAATACATGTTATAGAAAAACACAAATCACAGTGGCTTACTCAAAATACAGTATTTCTCTTTCCAGTGAAGGAAAACCAAGGTAAAGGTAAATTGTGGCTGGTATGGAGAGCCCACAGCCATCCGGAGCCCAGCTTCCTCCTTTCCTTTCTGTTCTGTCATCCACAGTACATGGCTTCAAGCCTCAAGGACACCTCATGATCCAAGAGGGCTGCTAGAGCTCCAGCAGTCACAGCTTTATTCCAGGTGACAAGAAGAAAGGGAGGAGGTAGCAAGATGCATCGCTTACTTGTCTGGCTGCCTCCTTAAGAAGCCTTTGTGGAATTCTCAGGCAACACTTCTGCTTATATCTCATTGGCTACAACTTGGCCTCACGGTCACCCATAGCAGCAAGCGTAGTATAGGAAATACAATACTTCACTAGGGTAAATTGCTGGATATAAAATTTATATATATAT